CGTCTGTCTTCCATGGTGGATCTTCATCTAGAAACAAATTCCGCTGCTGCGGCGCATTCGAAAAATGCCAAGCGCGTTGAGGTGTATTAATTAATATTCCTGCATGTTCGAGAAAATCCATCCCTAGAAGAGTGCGATTTTCTTTAGCGTCCGGGAGAACGATGAATGGTGTCTTGAAGATCCTTCCATTGAGCTTTACTTCCAGTGGTGCGTAGAGTACTTTTCCTATCCGAGGTCTGCCATCTGCAAGAAAGACTTGCATCCGTGCTTCCTGAAACTTGACCCCTTCAGACGCAAATAACTGGTGTAAGGACTGACTAGCCACGCTCATCTTGGCCCCAGTGTCGAAAAACGCCGTCCCTTGGTGTCCGTTAATACTAATCTTCACCGTAGGTCGGTTTCCGGTTGCGCAAACGCTCAGTGATCAAAATTTCCCAGTCTTCTAGTCAGAAATTGCGGGTTTAGAGCAGTCCGGGCACCAGCTTCGAACATACCCTGGTTTTCCGCATCCATAACATTTTAACCTGGATTCCTCTCTGGTATTGCTGGAAAGCGGCCTCTTCTTCCGATTGTCTTCAGCAGCTTTCTTCCGGCAGTCCTCGATCTGATGTCCTTGTAAGCGGCAAAAGGTGCAACGAGGTTTTTCTAACTTCACCTCGTTCTTTGCTACTGGAGTCTCTTGATCAAGAGCCTCCAAGTGTCGGGCTTGCACGATTAAGTCTTGATACGTGACAATCGCACTCCGCGGGATCCTTTCCCTCAAACTCAATTTCAAAAGGGAGTATAACATATTAATTTGAACCACCTCCGAATGCGTGTCCTCTAACTCTACAAAAAGAGTACATTTCTTGGCTATAAAAATATCGGTAGGTGTACCCTCCCCCTGCTTTGAAGCAAAAATCTCCGCGTATACGGCGTGTGCCGGTTTTCGAGGCGCGAACGTCGTGCGAAGAAGCTCCACCGCTTCATTCCACTGTTTGACCCCTGATGCTACCCCTTACCACCAGAGAGCTGCTTCACCTTCCAGCAGAAGCGGTAAACCCTTCAGAGCATTTGCCTCCGAAATATGCTCGATTTCTCTGTATATCGAAATCGTCACAATAAAATCCTGGAGCATTGTACGATCTGGAGTGCCATTATAACGTGCCGTACACTGCGCAAAACTCCCTTCCGGAACGGGAATCTGAGCCGACTGTGCCGTTGACAAAGATTGGATAAGTCAAGACAGTTGCTCTTCCGATAACTGGACCGCCATCTCGTGCCTCGGGCTCCTTCTTGGTGCGTTCGCCGTGATTTCTCGTTCGCTGGCCGCTAAGTTGGGCGCCAATGTAATGCTCGAAGTGAGGTTTATTCGGACAAAAAATTACAGAAAAATGATTATAATGTGAGATTCGAAGCAGCGAAAACCGGATGAGAAAACTGTGGGCTAAATGGTTGCGTTGAAGGAGCTATGCCGAGAAGGTGCAGTCAAGGAGAGAACAACTCTCTGCTGGGCTTCCAAGCAGAGGTTTTGAGGAAGACTGGTAGAAAATCCAAGTCTTTAGGAAAGTTGGAGAATGACTGTTTCCGACTCTGGTACTTCCAAGAGTGGTGTTGTCAGAGTGCAGGTTGGGAATGTTCTGACTTTCTATGTTTTAGGAAGCCCTTTTATATGATTTATTTCGCCTTCGGCCGCCCAACCAGCGTGCCGAAGTGCGATCGGTAAATTTTACGACACTTACAGGTAGTAGGTACGCTGAGGCTTGCGGTGCGCTGGTCATTTTTCCCCGTGTAACTCTGTTTCTTATGCTAAACCTTAACTCTAAAAAATTATCTCGCTACACATATAGTTTAGAAAGAAACATTTGATACGCGATTATTGATAACATATTATTTAGTTTGTACTCCTATACTGGAACTTTAATAGTAGGAAATACTACTTTCAAATAATGAATTTAAAAATTGTTGAGAATCACTGCTACTATTTGTCACGCAAAACGTTACCAGCACAACAGGACTTCCTGTAATAACTGCGAATCGGTAACAAGTTTTTTAAACGATATGTTCAATAATAAATGAATTGCAACATGTAGACTTGTAAAGTGGTCTGCTACGATTTGTCATCCTGTCATTCTTTTATGAAATCATATTGAAGATGTTGCTTATATTACACCGCCAAGAGATTTAAACCGTTTATAAACCATAAAAAACTATATTGCATCCATATCCAGTGCAACATTAACACAAGATACAAAGAATGTAATAAGTTTTCGTAATTTTCTCCAACAAATTATATCAAACAGTTTTCATTTACAATTTCTTGTCTGTTATACGTTCTTTAAATCATTCCAAATATTTTTCATGGAATTTAGATTAGCTTTTTGTGATTGACATTTAATATTTACATTATTATGACTAATTAATTTATTGATATATCGAAAGTGTTGTGCTAATATATCCAATTACTGTTTATTATTATTGTATCGGGTAATATATATGATTTTCTAATACATATCGATGTAGAGTCTCTTATTTAAATGTTTAATATATTGGAACAGTACAAATTTCGGCTTTCTTACTAGCGGGGGAGAAAACGTGATACTAAAGAGAAAGTTATAATTATAATATTTGGGCGCATAACAGAATAAAATACATATAATATTTCAGATAGTATAAAATTCAACGAATCGTTAAGTTTTATAATTTAATATTTGGATACTAATTATTACTACAAGCATTTTAATTATCTTTTAATTATTTCAACGGTAAGAATCGCTTATGCAAACAACTCCTTACATCATTAAAGTTTTAAATTTAACTAAAATGAAGAAGCACTTTTTAAGAAAAATGATAGTATATGAGACGGTAATATTTGGTCAGATGACAAATTTTAAACAACAATAAATGCACATGAAAACGTATGCATATGGTCCAGTAATAAAAATACTATGTAACGATATCAGTCAGTAATTGAAGATCAGTAAATAAAATCAATAACCCTATTTAAATCAGTGGAGTACTGCGTGAATAGGCAAACCGAAAGTTTTTAAAGCGGAAACGGTTAAGAAATTAACCATCATTATGAATATAATATTTCTTTATCATTCTAGATATTAATAACCATCGTATTTCTTTTTATTATTTTATTTATCCTAAATGCTACTGTTTTATGTTTTGTACGGACACCGAAGCATAAACAATAACCTAACCGTTATACAATAAACGCGTTTTTCGGAAACCGTATTTCCTCTTGCCTTTCATTTTGCGGTTATTACCGCATTCATCCTCACAATATTATTGTCATAATTTTTTAATAAAATTTTCAGACATCTACTGAGCCATTAAAACCATTTAGTTATTCGACGTGTTTAGTCATCCACGGATGCATCAATATCTGATGGAAACAAGTTTGAGCCAACAGATTCCGGCATTCAAAATTGTGTATTTGTTGCATTTGTTGAATACTATTATATTATACAAAAAAGATGAACAAAAATGGCGTCTCAAAACGAAGTTTAACCAAATAATAAATCTGGTGAAAATGCGAGTCAAGTTTATTACATTTTAACTACGGTATGAGTCACCGGTGTAACACGACATTTTAAAGTGGAGGGTTGGAAACAGATAGGACCGGAATATCGCCATTAATACCAATCGTCTCTGAGATTTTTTGCTTACGTTTTGAATACCATATGAATGTTGCAGCGGCAAGCCGTTGCACTGAGAAAAAGTAAACTAGGAACAGTCTGTGCCCTGGAATATGTGCGCCGGTCGCGAATACGTACCACACGAAGACCACGGTTTTAATCTTACTTATACCGGGATTCGATGGAATTAATGGCCACGCCTCGTACCCGAGCAATCCTCTCGATTTCCGGGACCACGGCCCCGGAAAGGATTCTTCCTACGTGTTGGAGGTAGGGCCGACGCACTCGTGACCACTGGATATATCCAGGCTGGAATGTGGCGGAGAAGGCAAACAGCAGATGGCGATCGCGAACGTCCACGAGGAAAGGGAACGAAAAGATGAAAAGGGAGAGGAAAGAAGGTCAGGAAAGTTAAAATCGAAGTTAATTACTGGCTGTCGATGTCGCTAGTGTTCAATAGGATCGTTCAAAAGCTATTTATCCTGGGGTATACCTATTTGACTTCACGCGTATCAATCGGTACCAAGATAAAGACAGCCGTGTCATAAATTCTGTCCCTAATAGAGATAACTTTATATAGCAAGCAAATTAAAGTGGTTTTCTACTTCGACGAACGGAGAAACAGCGACCTTCAAGTTGCCGTACTTCTCAGGAATGAAAAGCAATCTTTACAAGGTTTTATTTTAACGATTTATAAGGATTGTATTGCATAAAATGTATAATTAAAAATTTTTCATTTCAGATCTTATAGTAGATATTGTAATTACGAGAAATGAAAAGCATTGTTTAATTTTCATCGTAGAAGATATTTTTGTAATTTTGAACACCAATCCGTTAAAAATTATTGAGAAAAAAATCGCGTACTTTGTGAGAAATTTTCTAACTATATCGTTTTAGATTTTAAATAAAACAAATATGAATATTAATTTTTAGTAGACTTTTTTGTTATAATTAATTCAAAATTGATAATTTGTAGTAACGTTGGTAAAATCCATAATTAAAAATTGATAATTTGTATTAACGTTGGCGAAATCCATATTTCCAAATTGCTGCTGTAAATTAATTTACACTGCTGAATTAGCTTCAACCTGTACAAACATTACATATCTATTGATCCCTTAAATTTTCTTCTGAATTATGATTAGAAGATCTATATGATAACATTAATGTTTCTTTACTTCTTTCATAATGCCATGTTTGTACGAGGGTTGCCTTTTAAGTTTTTACAATCGAACAATAGGTGGCGTTAATGAGTTGTGGCACCACTGTATTTGTGAACATTGACGTTTGTTATTGCGAAGCCAGTGGCAATTTAGAAATTGATTGAGTAAGTTGTTGATAGTGAACGTTTAAAAGAAGCAAGTTTGTGCAAAAATGGAAATCACCCGTGAAGGCTTACGTTGGATGATTTTTTATGATTTTAAAAAAGGCCTTACTCAACAACAATGCATAGAATCGCTTCGTGCAACTTTTGGTAATGAAGCACCATCAGAGAAGACCGTTTACAATTGGTTTGCAGAATCTCGTCATGGTCGTGCGTTCGTCAGTGATGAATGTCGAGAAGGTCGGCCAAAATCGGTTGTCATTCCGAGAAACATCGATGCTGTGCGCAACATGATTAAAGAAAATCGGCATGTGACTTACAGACAGATAGAGGCGTCTCTTAGGATATCGCAGACTGCAATACAATCGATTTTGCATGAACATTTAGATGTGAGACGGAAATCACCCGTGAAGGCTTACGTTGGATGATTTTTTATGATTTTAAAAAAGGCCTTACTCAACAACAATGCATAGAATCGCTTCGTGCAACTTTTGGTAATGAAGCACCATCAGATAAGACTGTTTACAGTTGGTTTGCAGAATTTCGTCATGGTCGTGCATCCGTCAGTGATGAATGTTGAGAAGGTCGGCCAAAATCGGTTGTCATTCCGAGAAACATCGATGCTGTGCGCAACATGATTAAAGAAAATCGGCATGTGACTTACAGACAGATAGAGGCGTCTCTTAGGATATCGCAGACTGCAATACAATCGATTTTGCATGAACATTTAGGCGTGAGAAAGATATGTTCCAGATGGATTCCGCATAATTTGACCGAAGCGCAAAAAAAGGGTCTGAATATTTGAAGGAGAAAAACATCGAATCAATGTCTCATTGCCTGTATTCACCCGATTTATCGCCTAATGACTTTTTCTTGTTCCCCACTGTCAAACAAAAGATGCGCGGACAGCGATTTTCATCACCTCAAGAAGCTGTTGAAGACTTTCAAAACCATGTTTCTACGATATCAGCTTCAGAGTGGAAAAAATATTTCCAGAATTGGTTTGAGCGTATGCAAAAATGTATAGACCTTAAGGGCGAATATTTCGAAAAGCAATAAAACACTTTGTTGTGAACTTGTTCATTTCTGTTTCACTTTTTGTAAAAACTTAAAAGGCAACCCTCGTATAACATAAACAGTATTTAAAGCTAGAAAAATTTTATACGAAATTGTGTATTGTTGGATATCGCTTTAGGTTAATCAATATTTTTATTTCTTTAGATTAGTCAGTATATTTTTATTTCTTTAGATTAATTTCTTTAGATTAGTCAGTATCTTTATCACTCTAGAATAGTCAATATTGTTATGTTCCAAACTCAATCCCGTCATCTTTCCGTACATAGTTAGTCATGCGACCCTTAAACCCTTACTCACTAACTCTGAATAATACACCTGATTCCTCGTTATCCGACAATCCCTATTGGTCCTTTTCGTCATTCCCACTACCTCCAAGACCGAATCCCAAATCCTTAAAAGAATCTCCGAAGCTTCCCAGAATGGTCTTTTAACTTTTACACTGTTAAGTTTAGACAGAAGTTGAATCGCAGCGTAATTCTAGATCCTAAGTGTCATTGTAATCTGATTAATAAATCGGAATCTAGCAATCAAGTAATAATTTAATGTACATAATAGTGTACGTCACAAATTTACCACAGTTTCATCACGTCAAAGCGATTTTAATAACAGATATCCGTTAATAACTTTCGATTTTGCAGCCACTACACACATACAATGTTTTCTGTACTTAACTTACTATCGATTTCGATATCTCTGATCGTATAAATAATAAAAGTGAATTTCATTGTGTATATCAACAAGTAGGGTAAAAAGAGCGAAGAGGAACAAGTTAATAATCAGGAGCATGCGTGCTTATGATAAAGATACACGGGAAGAAACACACTGATCCGTCTCAATCGTGCACGTGCGTGCAACTCACTCCTCGTGTTTGTAAAACATCGCGCTCTGTGATTAGAGGATCGTGTATGAAACGTTCGTTAACCGCAGGACCGAACCGCGCAATTAAGCAAATGTGCCACTGGGACGATGGCACGTAATTAATTAGGCATCTCAGGTAATTAACCGATAAACGTTTGGCAAAAGCGTTGGCCCCTGCCGCGGGAATCAGATCCTGATATGGCGCACCGTTTACCTGCAGCGAGCGTTAATATGACGTAGATATACCAGGTGTCTTCCGCGTAATCATTTCCACACAATGACGAGGCGCGCAGGTGCGCTTTCGACCATTCGGTCGCGGAACGAAGCTCTGATTGTTAGCGTGATTAGATCTCGTACGATGGTCGATCGATAGCGATCGAGGTGCTGTCGGTGAATTCCTCTGGGAAAGTTCGGAGTTTGTGGGAAAACGAGATGATTTTATCCTAGAATGCTGGCTAGTCACGACGTGGGGTCTTTAATTGAATAGATTTACGTAAAGATTCCTGAGGCATGATTTCGCGTATAAATTTTCAGCTTTCGTGCTCGATTGAGTCTTTCAAGTTCTTTTAATCCTTTTCGGACGTTCGACTGTTCTGTCTTTAATATGAGTTCTTTCAGTAATAAATGTTACAGTGTCCGTTTTGATCGGAATGTTATTGTATGCTAAATGGATAATTTCGGAATAACAGTCTAATCCCGTTTGGTGACTTGCACGTACTGTAAAATAATACTTATAGTAATTTAACAAAATCCGATGAAATAGTCACTGTGACTCAACCAACTAACTTCTCGCAATACATATCTGTTTTTTAACGTACGAGGTATAATATATAATTTTCCCATCCTTTCATTTCTAATTGATCTCTGAATTAAAATTCTATAGAGTGTATTTGAAATTGTTTGGAAAAATATGCTAGGAAATGCGTACAACATAATAAGGTAGTCTAAAACAAAATAACAAAATTCATGCCAGCCAAGAAAATTGAAAACTTTTAGACACAAAATCTTAACAAAATACTAGTTTTCGTACGGCAAGTAATTCAATTATTTCTGTTACCTATTCAAATATTCCTATAAAATTGCATAATTAGTTAAAGATATTACTTAACTTCATTAAATTGTCTTTTTATATTATACACACATATGGTATAATATAAATGGGTGCTCTGCACAAGATGCAAGATATTTCAAATTCCCTAATGTTTGGACGGTGGAAGTTTGTGGAAGGATGGTTATTTTGAAAATACTACAAGTCCACTTTAGGTTGAAATTATTTTTAGCCGAATATATTACGATATAATTTAGCTCCAGTAAATTTGACTAGTACTGGCAATATCGTGAAAAATTACAAATTATACATAATATTGGAGATATGGGTTACCTCAATATGAATAAGGATGTGTTGTAGTTCTATCTAGGTATTATTGCCTATTTCTATTACTAGCTTGCAAATAAGTTCTCATTCAGTTTCTAATAAATACTCAACAAAGTTGACACAATTTTTGTTTTCGCATAGATGTACGAAGCCTCTTAACAATTTCTCTCTCATTTGAAAATTAATTACGAATTGATTTATTTTATTAAAGAAAAGTATAGCTCAGAATGATTTCAATGAAAATTATGACTGCGATACATCTGAAAGTGTAGCTGGTAGGTAATAATGGCACTATTTTAAAGTCCTCATGTCCAAAGTGTGGGTCAAGATCTGAATATGAAGATAGTTCGATCCAAAATGATTGAAAGAAATTAAAAAAATTAATAATTATACGATTGAGATATTATCCGTTTAATTGACAATTACGGTAATTCATTGTTTATGAAGGTGCGGCCATTACATACCTCTTTGGATATTATATGTAGAACTATTTTCCTTAGTCAGCACTTTAAGCACTATTGGATGATAAATATGCATTATATAACACTGCAAAGTACAAAAACTTTAACTATTAATGCTTACCAATTTCGCTTAAATTTCAATATTTACCAATACTTAAATTTCAAACAACTTACAACATAATATGAAGATATTATATATGTATATATATGAAGATGATATATGTATATATTATATATTTGGAAGTATATACAGGGTGTTACCTGTAACGCTACTCACGATTTTTCTTCCACTTGCAGCCACCTTACGAAAAAAAGTTTGGAACAATATTTGCAGGGTATGAAGTGCACAATAGATATTAGTAAAGCAAATTTTGAAAACAGTTTGCTCTCTTCGCAAAATCAAGGTCACCTTGGGTTTTTTAAATAGGAACATACATTTTTTGTATTCATAGCTTTAGAGGACATCGAGACGAATTCAAAACATATATTACATGATATTTTTATTAATATATTACTCGATATACAGAAGTGGAAATGTGAAGTGAAAGGCCGGAATATTACGCGATGGAAGGCGGCATACATTTTGAACATGTAATTAAATAAAGTGTATTTTTCTTACATTCTAGTCGCGTGTTTACATTCAGTAATCTCTTTAGAACCAAATAATGGTTACACTACTAAAGTCAAAAGTAAGTGTATCCCGCATAGAAACTAGCCTGCAGGCGCATTTTCAGAAAGTTATATCGTCGCTTATGGTGAATCGCACATTTGAGCGCGAGAGAGAAACAACTGTCGGGGTAAACTTTCACCCCAGTGCTCGTGGTAGTCATGTCTCTACCATGTGTACACACCACAATGGTTAACCTATGACTTTGCACCGCGGAATCTTCTTCCCCCTTTCTCCCTTTCTCTCTACGACCTCCTGTGTATACCTGATCCGGCGCTAGACTCTTAACTGAACCATACGCTGTAGCTTATTAATCATGATCTTAATGTTTTTCGCTAGACGAAATGGAACAGTGTATTCAAGCGACAACCGGCTCTCTCCTTGCAATCATCGAACATAATTTGCCTATGCCCTTTCTTTGCGAAATTATATGCAGTTTGAAATATGCAGCGTTCTCATAACAGTTAAAATATACCGTGTTGTACTAAATTAAGTTTAATAAAAGAAAGCGCGATTATGCAGTCCTGTAACAAGACTGGTAATAGAACTAAAATACTAAACTAGTATAACTCCCGATAAGACACTAGAACACGTACGGTATTTAAAGACTGACATTTAAGTTCAATATGTAAAAAGTATTATATTATTGGGTGATTTGTTCTTATGGCGAGGGACAGCATTTACTTTGCAAAGGATGTTAGATTAAGGTCAGAAACTAGTTTATATTTTTACTGATAATTAGGATCATCGAGTTGCTGAATTTGTTATGTTACAATTCGGGAAAAATTCATATTCAGAAGAGGAGAACAACCTTTCTATATACAACGTATATTACAAATCAAGCAACGATGAGATGTCTCGAAAAATATAAATAATCCAAAAGAATGTGGATGCAATCATTGTACCGTATCAAAGGATACTAGCTATACTTTAGTTTATTTAATACTATAATACAATAATAATATAATGTTTATATTATAATATAATGTA